TACATTCTCATAAGTTGATAGATTTAATATATAATTATAATTTGTAATGTTTAATGTTTATAGATTTATATATATATATATATAAATCTATAGTTGCCTATTGTCTATATATCTATAAATAACAAATTAAATATTAAAACAATCACGCCGTTAATACAGTATATACTGTACTGTACAGTACATGATATAGTCTGAATTAAATTATTTTTATATTTCAATGTGGATTATATTTGGTTTCGTTACAGTTAAATAATTAAGTTATAAGAATCATTAGGAATGTACAGGAATAAATATACGGGATCGTCCATAAGTTATGTAACGAACTTTTATACTTTTCAACTAACATTCCGATACGTAATTACGCTCCATAACACATCGCGCATACTCAACCCATTCTCGAAATTACGCCTATCCTAGATCGAATCCTTTATTTACACTAAAAAATAATATACAGAGCATGTAAAGTATTGAATGTTACGTTATTTTATTAATTAAGGGTACCACAAATAAGTGGCATAAACAGAAAGGTTTGCTATGGAACTCTTCGAATACAAAAATGAATCATTCTGCTACCCGAGGATTGAGATCTTGGTATTAAATAATCTTTCTGTAAACACCCCATCGCCTTGCAAGGCATTGTAGCGATTATCTGTATATCCATCCACCCATGTCTACGTTACGTAATTTATGAGCAACCCTATGTTTATAAAACAAAAAATAATTTAAAATTAATTGCGTTGATTAGCTGTGCGCGAGACAGATACTTGAGATTTTAAAAAATTATATAATGTAACGATTTTAATTAAAAAATTAAGAAAGTAAATTTGAAAAATCAAAATGGAATCGCAACATAACGAAACAGGGTTCTGGTTTGCTGGAGTGTTTGATTGTAGAGTATAGATCACGTGCTGTATATGAAATTTTGATTCTGATTGGCTGGCTATGTGTGATATTTTTCGGTGCCTATTCCTTTATATTACAGTCGGAAAAAAATATACTAGAAAGTATTCGAGTATTAGAATATCCCGTTGATTAAAAAATTCGAATACAGTGAAAACTGCTTAGGCGACCACCTGCATTCGACAGGCACTTGTCAAAACGGGCAAAAATTTCTGGCACGGAATAGTTTATCCATAGAGTCTTCGTATAAGTTACCTGTATTAAACGACCACCTGTGTAACGCGACCGCGGGCATCGATTTTTGGTCCGAAACAACATATAACACCTGTAATAAGCGACCACTTTCGCGAATGTATCTGGTCTAAACTATTGTAAGAACCCATCTCAACAACGTTTCCCCCTCCTAATATAATGAATTAGTCTAAACTCTCGTTCGAACCCATCCCGGGCACTTCTCCCACCCTTGAAATTAGGTGCAGGTGTTAATAAATTAGTCTAGCAACAAAGGAAATTCATTTCAGTTTGTTGGAAAATGTCCGAAATGCAAAGTGCTGTCGTTAGAAGATCGTATTAAAGTTATCACAACAGCAATTAGCGGCGAAGTTTAACTGTGGGAAAACAAAATTTATTTTACCCTAGACCTACAGTATTTTCCTTGGGGGTGTAAAATATTGTACACGATACAATTAATCGGCTGATCTCATCGTTTGATAAAATCTATTTTTATTTATTTATTTTGAAGCTCATATACAGTACACGTGCGATAAATAGCTTCTGTATCAACCTACCTTATTTCCACGATATTTTTAGAAAAATAATATCCAAGTAATTTTCGCAGGCAAAATATTCAAAAAACAATAAACGCATTAATGCAAAAATCAGTTTTACTTCCTTTTTCGATTCCGCGATTGTAATGATATCGTACAACGAGAAAAAATAATAAAATCATTTTATTATTAATTAATAATTTTTCTTATTGTACTTAATTAATTAAGAAAATATTAAATATTTAAAAAATACAGTATTTTTAAAGTTAAAATAAGATTAAACTAACGAAAACCAAAAGCAAAGTGATGGAGAGATAGGACACGCTTGTATATTGATGACGTAATACACGTAACTGAGGAGAGAACGAAAAGAACCGAGTCGAATTAATTAAGTCGGAAAAAAGAAAATGTGCATTATAATTGAGAAAATGCGAGTATTGTATTAATCTTTAAAATAAAATACAATACTAATATAGCCCTATCGTTGAAAAAATTCGCTTATTTTTGCTCACCTCGAGTTTTGCTTAGTAAAAATGGCTAAAAAGTGCGCAAAATACGTACGGAAATACGTTATTACAGGACCACTGTATTGGACGACCACCTGTCTAAAAGACCACTTTTTGAAGGAACCGTGGGTGGTCGCCATAGACAGGTTTTACTGTACTACGAATACCTCTAATATCGCGCCATACATAGGGACAGCCTCTTCAGTCAGAATTGCCAGATAGAGTCACCCTCAAAAGTGTCTGCAAAATTACTCCAAATCACGGAATTTTATTGAAAAATTCGCCACAGTAAAATTAACATTGCAGATACAGTTTCAATATTTTCAATGCTGGTAACTTTTTATTAAAATGCTTTTACGAAGTGTTATTTATTGAATTTTCACATAATGATTTGTTCTATTTTATAATTTGAAAATACGTAAGATAGATTTAATATTGTATAAACTAGTTGGAAGAAAAAAAAACATACATAGAATTGTATTTTCAATTTATATTATTTCATTTTAAAATTATAATACCATTATCAAAATGTTTTCATTTCATGTACACATTATAATGATAAAAAACCAAATAATATATACATTCAGATGTGTTCGCATGCGTTAAATCTACTGCAAGAATACAAAAATTCTTAAGTTTTACCTGCTTTATTGTATCTTCCTTTACAACGTATTTGAGTTTAAAATGCAAATACTTCCAATTATTTTCAGTTGATAATAGTATTATATTAAGAATTAGATACTTGACTGTTTATAATTGTATATATTTATTAATATAGAGAGATATATAAAACTTTATAAAGTCAAGTTAAATGTTACTTAAAGTGTAACATATTGGCGTTAAGTAACATTTAACTTAAAAAACTATGTTTAGAACAGAAAAGTTTTAATTATCCACATTAAATAACCAATGAAAAAACTCTTAATTGATTTATTTTAATAAGAGCATTATTATTTACAAATCAGTTCTTAATTTTTTAAAATTTTCAATGGTCGATAATATTGAAAACAAAGGATTTAATAAAGCAATTATTAATGTTTAATAACCATAGCTGGACATTTTAATGAACAGTTTTGAATTCGATAGATTTCCACAGCCTCTGACAACAGAAACCTCAAGCTTAATAAAAGCCTCTCACATTAATAATATTAAAATAAAAGCTGGAAACTCTATTAATTCCGACTCTATTAATTCTCCAGAATATAATGCTATAATCATGTTCTTGAACATGATTACATCAAAGGAAAAGTCTGAGACTGCATTATT